AACTAAAATAATAACACTGACAACACGCATGCATGCATGCATGCACATGAGGAAAAATCAAATAAAGGATTGAATCTTATTGGGCCTAAAAGAGCTTGACATATAACAGGCCCTCAGTACGTGCCAGCTCCCACCTTTCCAGGAGGCTGCAGGGACAGAACAATCTATTCTTATGTGCAATAATAAATTTATAATTATCAGTACTACGTCCAACTTTCTTAGGTGATGATGAGCTACTGGAGTGACCTCATTCTTGCCTGGACTGGTGTAATCGATCTGAAAATCCCTGTAACATGATAGAATGACTGAATGAAAGAAGGGATAAAATGACCATTTCCATAACCTGCACAGCACTGGACACACTGCAAGTTGTTCATAAGCTACTTATGGCAGACTGACTTTTATGGATGACTTCCAGAGGCTAGCCCCAGATGGAGCAGCCATGGAGATAATGGGGGAGGCATTCCCAATGCACAAATCCTACATTTCCAAAAACACAGACAAACTTGTTGCATTGTGGTCCTGTGACTCAATTTTATAAATTCAAATTCTGGGTTCATACAATTCCAATGTAAACCCAATTGTCCCAGGAAGCAAATCTACCACAGTACAGCTCAGGAACTTATCTTGGCCTCCCTTTACCCAACACCTCTTCCAATTGAACTCACTTCAATTAAGACAGAGAGGAGCAGTTAGATGGGGGATGGCCAAGATCCAGTTGGAAATGAGTTTCAGCATCTGGATTCAGTGAACACCAGGGTTAGTGATCTGTGGAAAAAGTCTGGGCAAAAAGCAATGTTTTTTGCATGATTTTTCTGGAAAATTGGTGAGCACGAGACAACCTTGGATGGGTGCTTGGTGGTACAACTAAAATCAATCATTCATGGAAAGGGAGTGTGTGGCCTTTCAGAGAAGAAATAAATATCAGTGATGTGAAAATGAGTCAACAATAAGTCTAATTCTCAGTCAAAAGAGACTGTAAGAGTTCCAGGACCAGAAAAAAAATCCCACTTTTTTCTTCATCCTGAAGATAACCAGATGAAGATTTGTTTTTAAAGTACCAATGTATTCATATACTTGGAATGATGGATTTGCTTTGTAATGAAGCTCTGTATCTGGAAAAAATGAAACTTTTAGTATTCTTTTTCAAGTGATGTACAGTTTATGTTTTTCTCTCATTTCTTTTTCTTGTTTATTTTTTTTCTTCTTTCTCCTTGCTTCCCTTTTTTTCTCTTTTCCCATTTCCTTTTCCTTTTCTTCTGATGGGGATGGTATATTTATGACCAGTGTCTGCAGCTACAGCAACCTTCAGCTGAGGTTTCACAGAGTTGTGTGTATGAAACAAAGAACAGAGGGATACAAGTTCCTCTTAGAATCCTACATGATGACAGCGTGTTTCAAAACCAGAGATCAAAATTTACCATAGAAGGAACCAGAATTAGTAAGCCATAAGGAAAGGTAAGTGGCAAAGGGACCATATGAAAAGGCCATTGGTGGTGGGTAAGGCAGTGCTGGCAACCCTGGGTTCAGTGGTCCATCATAAAATACAGATAGTAACTTTTCCTATCTCCTGAGAGAATCTACAAGAGAATGTTTATAAAGTTTTGCAAAGTGTAGGGTTGTGAGAGAATAAAATGAGATAATATACAAAAAACTATTGGAATCAAAACTGGGAAATAAACTTTCAAAATAACATTAGGCATCATAATTATTATGACTATCATTCAAGGATATGAATCCCTCTCACAGAAAAAAATCTGGATAAACTCCAATTATTGTTATTAATATCATCATCCTCATTTTCTTTGTTTTATAGCTGTTTTATATTTCTTTGCTTGGCATCTCCAGATTGCTGTCTTACTAGATAGTCTGCTTTGTTCTTGTTTCAGATTTTGCTCTATCATAGCAGCTTTTAGGTTTCTTAATCCATTAAATCCTAAGTTTTCAATTTTGCAGATGTTTCAAAAAATTGACATAAGTGCATTAAAATAGGTTGAAAATAATAATCTAGAGCTTAAATGTTATTATATTATTATCATAATTATATTGCAATATAATCATGTTATTATAAATTATATCACACTATAATATATATTATTGTGCTATAATATTATTTTGCTATAATAAATTATATTATTATAACACAAATAACAATGTATCCTATTATATAAGAATATTATATTAGTTATTTTATGTAGTATATATTTATTATATGTAGTAACAACATCATATAATTATATCACTGTATAATTATACATTATTATATTGTGTATCATATATTACATATATTATTACATGCACATTACATTTAATTATTTATGCATTTTACATATCTGGGATGATGGGTCAAAATGGGTTAAGATTTTGCTGTGTATAATCCACGGGTCAATCATGACCCAATTCTATGTCCAATGAAACTCTATATGTCCGATTGTTCAAAGTGGAGCTCCCAATATAACTGGAATGGTTTATAGTGCAAAGCTAATTGAACAGATAAGCTAACAATTCTCAAGCCTTATATCAAAACTCATAGTGAAAAACTGAAGATTTTTTAGAAATAGCAAAAAAGAGGTCAAAGTTTCTAAAAATTAAAATTTAATCTTATGAAATAGGTATATAACTAATTTTTGTTCACAAATATATGTTAAAACACATGTGAAGATCACTTATATCCAGAGCAAATAACTGAATCAAATACTGGAAAAAACATTTCCAACTGAAAAAGATGTCTAATTTGCATGCTGTCTGTAAAAACCCTGTTGAACAATGCATCCTATGCAAAGAAGTGTGTTTTTTTTTTTGTTGTTGTTGTTTGTTTTTTTTTTCCCCTATCCTTGTTTAGAAAGTTTCTAGACTGAGTCCTCTGTGGGTTCTTATGACTATACTATGATGTGGGGTTAAAAAGGGCTTTCAGTAATAGGTCTTCAATATGCAACAGAAAGGGGGTGGATATTTAAATAGAATGTTACACACAAACACAGCAGTGGTTTAAATAAGGAGAATGTTAGACATCCATACTGCTGTACTTTAGGCATGATGTATTCCTTCTTGACCATTCTGTTTATGGTTTTTAAGACCAATCAGATATTAATTATTTCATACTAACTTCCCTACCAGAGTCTGATCCTGAGGACCAGGGACTGATGAGGTCTGACTCAGTAGATTCATTTCTCTACCCTGGCATAGGAGCATAGGTACAGAACATGCTCTGTGAACCCACCCACCCACCTACACTTCTACCTACTTTGAGAGGTCATTTAAGAAAGTTTAAAATAGAAATACTTAAGAAATGGAAATTAAAGGTTATTTGTATCCATATCCAGCTTTGGATCAGACCACTTGGAATTTGGCTGAAGACCTAGAAGGGCTGGGAGGGAACTCAGACAATAAACAGACACTTTCAGTGTAACCTAGTAAATGGGAGATTGGGTAACTGAGCTTAGGTCTCTTTTCCCTTGCATTCTTCATCCAATCTCTCAGCAGCCCTGCTGATCTGTTGACCTCAACTCCCAGTCATCATTCCTAATGTCCTCCTTCAAGCCCTCATGGCTATTTATCTGGGGATTAACCTAATAAAACTGGTCTCCCTTCCTTTAGACACGTGCCTCAGACCTTCTTCCTCATGGCTATTATCCAGGGTTTCTTCCAACTGAGACCTGAATGTGTCCACCTACTCTTCTTGATGATGCTCGATTCCTTAGCACATTTTTCAGGGACTTTTTAAGACGTGGTCCCTTCCCTGCTCTCTAATTTTTATTTTAAGCTATTTTTCTAAGAATAATTTGGGCCAGAGCTGAAATTCTGGACTATTTTAATTACCATCAAATATGCTTATTACCATCAAATATGCTTGTTACTTATCACGTCCACATCTTCTTCCATTGAAAATTCTCCTGCCTAGAAGCCTGTCCCTACCCTTCTGTGTCTGGTTTATCTGTATTTATCTTTCAAGTCTCAGCACAAACACTGTCTCCCATGAAAAGGATTTCCTAACCACTTGTTATAGTTTGGATATGTTTTCCCCAGTAAGCTCATATGATAGATAATGCGGAAATGTTCAGAAGTGAAATTATTAGATTATGAGATTTGTATCTGATCAGTGAATTAATCCATTGGCTAGATTAATAATGTAAAGGGATTATGGGCTGGAAACTCTAGGCAGGTGGGGTATAGCTAGAGGAAATGGGTCACTAGGTATGCTTTTGCATTTTATGTTTTATCCCTGGTGGCTTGATTGCTCTCTCTGCTTTCTGGCTGCCATGAGCTGACAGCTTTCCTCTTCTACCTGCTTCTACCATGATGTTCTGACTCTCCTCAGGCCTAAAGCAAATGAGTTGGCCCCCTATGGACCGAATCCCTGAAACTGTGAGCCAAAATAATCTTTTCCTCCTCTAAGTTGTTCTGGTCAGATGTTTTGGTTACAGTGACAAAAAGCTGACTAATGCACCACCTTTGCATTAACTGGAGTTGTGTTTAAAGGACAGGTAAAACTGCCTGCCCAAGCAGGAAAAGAAGCAATTACAAAGGGACAGAAGAATGGGATAACATGAGCCATGTGAGTCCTTCACAGTCTAAGGTAAGTGACCGGCACATGTGTGAGGCTGGAGTAGACACTGCAAAAAGGATGATGTGCCCAGCAAATCATCTGACTTGTGTCTCAAGGGCTACAGGGAACTATTAAAGGGTTTGGGCTGGGAAGTAACATTGTCATTTTTCACAAAACAGAATATCACTCTCTCCTGGAGGGGATGGGGAGGGGATGGATTGGCGTGGAGAAGGAACAATGAAAAGAAGGGACAGTCATCACTGCCTGGAGCAACAGTTAATCCTTTAGCAAAAATACACGGCAATGCAACATATATTAGGTTGTACACTAAGAGAATGTTAGTTGACTTAGGAATATGCAAATCTTCCAATTACTGGGATATGGGTGACGTGACAAAATGGGTTAATCAATGGTGTAAAACATTCCTGATGCTACAGAGTAAGTGTCAACTTACCAATTTTCCAGTGACACTCTGACCACCTTCGTTCAGCCAGAACCCAGGGACCATGGCTGAGAAATAAGGCCCCCAGACACCTGGTACAAAAATTGGGTCTTTGCTGATCTGGAAGAAAAGGGGAAAATTGTGTGAAAATGCTGACCCTGAGGGGCTGGAGGGAGCCTCACCCTCCTCCCACCTAATGCTTCTATGACCATAGAATTCAGCTTATTGTTGAATACCTCTATGGTGGGTGAGTTATTCTCTCCCAAGGAAGATCATGGCTCTATCTTTGGAAATAGTTCTGATAAATTCATTTAGATGTCAAAGCAGTAAAGTGATTATTTTGTAAAGAAACATATGAAGCATTTCCTTGCTGGTTCCCACTCTGTGGCAGAGACTGTAAAATTCGTCTCCATTCTCTACCCCTCCTGTGTCTACATCTTTTCTATGACCCTTTGTGGCTCCTGTCACAGAGAGGTGGATCTATTTCTCAACCTGTTGAATCTTGGGTCAGTCTTGTGACTTGTTTTGCCTAGAGAAGGAGGCAGATGTGACACTGTGCCAGTTCTGGGCCTCTCCAGGGCCATGTGCTTTTTTTCCTTCTCTTGACCTTCTACCTTGGCCAAGAGACATGCTCCAGATGAGAAGACTTGTGCAACAGAGCTGAATCAGCCCAGTTGTCTTAGGTGCTGTCCCAGATATATGAGAGAGCCCAGGCAAGACCAGAAAATCCCTCTAGTTGGCCTGAAGCTCATTATCCCAGACTATCCCAGTCACCCAGCCAATCAACAGACTTATGAGCAAAAATACAGCTCTACCATTACACTACTAAGGTTCCACATTTGTTACCTAGCCTTTTTATGGAAATAGATAACTGATACATTCCTCTCACAAACAATTTATTTACAAGCCACCTAACAGCATGCCTTCTGGTGCGTCTTCATTTCAAGAAGCTCCAATCTAGCAGGAGCTATATGAATACATAGACAAATAGACTATGGTATGGTCCATGGGATGGTAAAGACAAGACAGAGACTGTTGAAGAGGGACCTAGAGGGTGAGGAGTGTGTTAAAGAAAAGCAAAAATACCATAAGGCCAACAAGTCATAACTAAGTAGACAAAATTTTAGCCATCCTGATTTCCCTGAAATGATAGCTCTAATCATAAACAAAGCACAAAATGTAAGCTTTATGTCCTTGTCAGCAGGATTTGGTGAAATTAAACCAGTCAATGACAGGTAATCAGATTAAATAGTTCTGTTTTCCTTTAAAAAAAATTAATGTATAACAGCCAATCAGGAAAGATGTCAAAGTGCTTCCTCCTTTATGCTATGAGACCTGCTTCTCCATCTAGCAGGAAGGGCTGCTGAGGTCAGTTTTATAGTTTTAGGAAAGGGTTACCTAGAGGGTAGGAAGGAAGAGGGAGTTAGGCACACAAAGTTGACTCCATCAGGTCTTGAGACTGAGCAGAAATCATTTATTTATTTAAGTCATTTATTTATTCAACAAATGTTTATTCAGCTCTTGCAACATACGCTTGGTACTATGCTAGAACCTAGAGATAAAGAAGTAAACTGAATATCCATAATTCCTTTCTTCATGAACGTCATCATCTAGCATTTTAGCAGAGAGACCTTCTTTAACTCTCTTGATGCCCACTATTCTAACTCCTTTTCCACTAAACTACTTATTCCTCAAATCAGTAGAAATTTCCAACCCCCAAATGGGAAGGGAAGGAAGAAAGGCAAGGAAAACTATTTGATACTGACATGTTTAAATCTTGCCAAGTAAGGGAAATTTATATATAAAAAAGGGAAATTAGCACCTAAAATAGAAAGAACAATCTCAGGGGAAAAGACGGGTTTCTATAGGAAAAGACAGTTCAGCTTATATTGACATATTCATTCTTTACTGGTTCAAAAAATGTTTCCTGACTTCCCACCAAGATCCAGATATATGCCAGGCACTGGATATAAGTGGTTTTTTTTTCTTTTTATAAAGTGCATAGTCCTTGCCCTCATGGAGCATGGCACCCTGACAGGGAGGAGTACCAGGGTGTTCAGTCATTCAGGTTTGGCCAGGACTCTACCAGTTTTAGAGCTGAAAGCTCTGTGTCCTGAAAAACCCCTTGGCCTCAGCCAAACTGGAAAATTAATTACCCCAAGACAAGCACCCATCAAATCATCACAAAAATGTGTAATTACAAACTAGGATGAGTGAATGAAGGCAGGCTACGCATATCATGAGCGTACAAAGGTGAGGTGCCTAATACAGTCTAGGGACAGGGAAAGCTGCACTGAAGAAGTGATGTGTGAACTATGATGTGACACATATATACAATGTCCTCAGGTAGGTGAGTGTGTGTGTGTGTGTGTGAGAGAGAGAGAGAGAGAGAGCGAGCACAAGTGCACGTGCAAGTGCTACAAGGAGCATATACTAATTGGTATTCATTTTTATCACTCTGCTTTTGTCCATGGAAAATTCTATGAATGCCAACCCTAGAAAATCCTGCCTTAAACTGCATTGCAGAGCCTCTCAGGGGTGAAGAAGACACTCCATATTTATAACCTCTTAGAATGCAGGGTCTGGACAGGTAGATGGACAGCCAGCAAAGTCAGATCATCTCTTTTTTGTGCCTCACATCGGCTCCCTCCCAGAACTCTCAGCCCCATCTGATTGGCTAGTCTCAGAGGTTGTGTAAGTTTCTATGGCCATCCAGCCAGTAAATCGTCATGGTAGGATCTGAACTAAGCAGATGTTGACCTCAAACTCCTTGATACATATCACCCCCTGCCTCCTGCCTCCAGTCACACACTCTAAGGATGTTATTGGGTGAGCTGCAGTAGGCCTTCAGTAGAAGACTGTGGCTCTGTAGCTTATAAGTGTCTAATGATGGCTTTGCCTCGCTCTGTGCAGGAAGACAGTTTTGAGCTGACATCTGTCTGTGCTCACTCATCTGGCATGGCACAAGATTCTCATCTGACATTTCAAGTAAACTAAGGAAACAAAGAGTACTTCCCATCATTTCCAAACCCTTGGCTTCTGGAGGGAACAAAAAATAGTTTGCTTTGAGAGAGAGGGTCAGAGAATACACATTTGTATATTTATGGGTTCTTTAATCCTTCTAAGAAAACCTAAATATTTGAAGAGATTTTTGTGAAAGCTACTTCCATGCTGATGGCTGTCTTGGCCTGGAGGCTGCTCTGTGACTCAAAAGGAGAGAGCTCACTGCACTACACTGATGACAGGTGACTAGAGGATGCTGATGACAGGTGACTTATAGGAATGCTAACTTCCTAGTAACAATGACTCTGCTGGCAGCAATGGCTAAGACGGACAGGGAAGTCAGTACAGGCCTATTTTAAGCATGTTACTAGTGTTTAATTACCTAATCCTCACAGTCCTAAGGGAAAATGCTGCCCATTGCTCTAATCATGCAAATGAGGAGAGTTAAAAATGTGTCCCACATTACAAAAACACCAAGCAGTAATGTATCACAATCAATAGGTTCTATATTTGCCTCTGCCAAATGATGTCCTTGATTTTAATCTACCTTCATTTCTTAAGCCTTTCTTCTGTGTTTGAAGGGTAGAAAGCAAAGTGCCACTGGAGGCAACAAAGGTTCACTTACAGTGAGCAGACCTCTGGCCTTGACAAGTGGTGGGTTAGGCCATCTTTACTTCCTAAATGATTTCAATAGGTTTTCCCTGATATACTGGTGAACAGAAGCAGAGAGAGCAGGGGGGGTCAGGCCAGGTACAGCTTGATTTTATGTCTGATTCTGTCTCATTCTAGACAGGTGACTTATGCAAGGTAGCCTTTCTGAGCTTCAGAGTCCTCCATTTTAAAAGGAGAGGAATGGATGAATGTTGGAAAACTTTTCTGAAGATTAAATACACTGCCACAAACAAACTGATTATTCAGGAGGATGTGTTAAATACCAAATAATTGTTTGCTTTCCTTGCAGTGAAGTCTATGTGATGGGATTGTCAGGTGACTGGTTGAACAACCATAGCCAAAAGTAACTGTAACCATGCAGGAGGTCTTTAGATCTGTCCTTGGCATGACCTTAGTTAATAACCTTAACTAAGATGTGTAAGATGATATAAAAGTAAAGCTTATCATATTTTTAGATGGCAAAACTTGGAATGATTGTTTATGGGGTATGTCAAAATCAAGAATCAAAATTACATTGGAGAGCTAGAACACTTGGTGAAATTAATGTTTAAAAAAGTCAAGTCTAGCTGTGATTGTGGCTCAGTGGTAGAGCACTTGCCTAGCATGAACAAGGCATTGGGTTAGATCCTCAGCACCATATAAAAAGATAAATAAATAAAGGTATTATGTCCATCTACAACTAAGAAAATATTAAAAAAATAGTCAGTTGATATTTGTTGAGTAGTTTAAAAAATACTAAATGAATACCCACATACAGGCTGGGTAGCAGGTATGTAGGTATTCATTTAGTATTGTTTAAATTGTATATGATCATTTGATAAACTCTTTAATTGTGTGTGATATAAGTTAAAATATAACCCCCACCCCCCAAAAAAATCCAACATTTTGTTGTATACTACATACCAGGTACCAAAAAAACAAGGCTATAAAATAATAAGTCAAAATACTACTACTACTAATAATAATAATACCAAAGTGAATGGTCCCAAACTCAAGGAAATCCTAATGTGACAGAGCAGGCAGAGTGAAAATTTTTAGAAGTTTACAATAAAACATGCCAAGTGCTACAATGGTATAGGAAAGAGTTGGTAGTAGCCCAAAGGAAGGAATAGCAGGCTACCTGGAGAAGAATGAGTACCCCACAGGGTGGCCACCATGAAATGGGGCTTTGAGGGAGGAGGATATGTTAGCATAGACAGGGGCATCACAGGAAGAGAGGGCTCAGTATCATGGAGCTGCATTTTGATTTTATGAGAGCTCAGTTTAGTGTTCTGCATTTCACTGAAATGAAAGATCACATGGTTTAAAGGACAGGTATAACTTTGAACATCGCATTCAAAAATTTTCAATTTTTGAAATTGTTAGAGTTGGGAAAAATCCTCAGTGAAATGACCTTCTATGTCAGATCATAATAAAAAGGAAATAATAATAATAATAATAATAGC